GGTGTAAATTTTCATTTGACATTTCATTTTAGTTTCTGACATTTTCGCTTCACAGTTCAGCGATTCAATAGCTACTTGAAAGTACATTTTCCAGGTTTTCGGTTGTTTTTATACATGATTTATCACATACTTGTATGAAAAATTGTGTTAATTTGCAAAAGGTTACGATAAAAGTAAGCGAGATATCAAAATATTGAAAAACAGACTCCATGTCCAATATTCCTCTCTGTCACACTTTTCCAAATGCTTCTTTGATGAAATTCATGTCAATAATCTATTGCTTTTTAAAGTTATTTTATGATAAACTGTATGCTGTTCACATCATTCAGGTTCAACACAGCGTACCAGCTTAACCACAGCCCTCCCTGACCTCTCCATGGGACTGAAGCTTGCCCTCGACAATGGGGACATCAGCGTCTTCAATAGGGTCGACAGAAGTCAGCCAATTCTACTTTCAAAAATATCCCGAAATGCGAGATAGTTCCTATTATCAGGAAATCGGGGGAAAAAGATGATTAAAGAGTATCCATACCTACAAATGGAAGGGACAAAGCCTTGGTTTTGCTTAGAATCATTTAATGTCTCAGAATATGGTAAAACAGAAATGCGAAAACAACAATGGCTCCAGATATATATATATATATATATATATATATATATATATATATATATATATATATAGGCTAGCGCTTTCAACTCGTACCACGTTATGGCCTGATGAGACTCGTACGAGTTGAAAGCGCTAGCCTATTAAAACTGTGTTCAATCTTACTCCACTTATTTAATTATTACTATATTGTGCCTGAGAGTTAGAACTTTACTGTGCTTTATATATATATATATATATATATATATATATATATATATATATATATATATATATAATAAAATAATAAAGTCCACGTTAGTCCATCATCTTCTTTATATCAGTTTCAAAATAGGAGAAAATGCTACACTGTGTAAAATCTGAATTTTGCTTTGTTTACATTTCAGCCATGTGCAGTTTTTCGAGCACAGCGTACGTTTTCACACCTAACGTATTTTGCTTGATTTCATCTAGCCACTTTGTATTGGTGACAAAGACCACTGGTCATTTGATTCTAAAATGTATGAGGAATTCAAGGATGTAGGTATCGCAGATAAGTTTGAAATATACGTGATGTTACAGGCGTCTCATAACCGGTGTACCTGAAACGTGATTTTGTAAACACTATCCAATATGGCGGAAAGTTCACTACGACGTTCCTGTTTTCGGTTTTTTCCTAAACATTCTAAACGATTCTAGGGTTATCGGAGACGTTTTGGAATGATCATTGGTGATTTCATAAAAGACAGATACCCGTGATCACTACTATGCTATTTTTGAAATTCATTTCTCCGAGTAAATATCCGAAATTTAGGTTTCAAAACATGCTGTAAATAACGCCGTGAGTGGTGATTTAGTAATGTGTAAAAAATGGCGACATTTACGATGTACCTAATTTTCAGAGGTCATGTTCAGTACTTTTGCTTGGCCTAAAATGCCAGTGGGTGATATCACAGAACAGTGAATTTCCCACCTTATTCAAAACTGTATACGTAAAGTGTAGTCGTGTGGGTGATGTATTTTGAATTTTATTCGACTTCAAAGTGAGGGTTGTAGAGGAGGCGACTAACGTGATCGGGTGGTCAGGCTCGCTAACTTGGTAGTTACATGTCATCGATCCCAATTGAGTGGATCGATGCTCATGATGTCAATCACTGGATTGTCTTGTCCAGACTCGATTATTTTACAGACCGCCCATATAGCTGGAATATTGCTGTGTGCGGCTTTAAACAACAAACAAACAAACATAAAATCGAAATCACCAAGATCTCCCCGTTCTTCCACATCAAACACACCCGCCAAGAGATTTAGAATGGGCATTCCTAATAACGATCTCTTGTTTGAAGAAGAATATTCTGTCAACCTCAAAGAACTGAACGGGACAAGGCCAAACCAAGTAACACCCACACCAAGCAGCTTCACCGGCAGCTACGTCAGAACAGAAAAAGGTGGATGACTTCTCTACCCGAAGGAAAGACCCAGCCCATAATTGAGGCGTATTCCTGTTTCTCAGAAGGACAACGTCTGAGTACAGAGTAGTGACAGCCTGTTTGGATATAATTTAGGGTGAAATCAGACAAAATCATGTTCAACATAAAACGGTTAATTGAGTCCCTTACTCAGTAATTGAAATAGAAACTCAACTGTGAGTATCTCCATCTGTTTTCAATTACGTCACAAAGATAATGACGACGTACATAACATTGTTACGATCTGTGACGATATCACCCCCACACGATATATCGTTATTGTTCTTTCTCCACTTCAAGTAAATGATAAATAGAGAACATTGAAGTATGTTGATGTTGGACATAACGGTAATTTAACTGTTATTACGAATCTTATGACAGAAAGATGACATCACAGAAATAGACTTACTGGTGGGCATGGGAAAAGCTGTGGCAGTCGAAAAAGGACGAGCTAAGAAGTCCATGTCAATCATTAGTGTCCATAAGGTTAGTCTCTCAATCCTTCAAACAGTATACTGGATAATAAGGTGATCATAATGGTCATTAGAATTTTTTTCACCTGTGGTTAAAGTTTCCTGTGACCCCTAACATTCTAGCTTTTAACATTATGCTATATGGAAATGACAAACTAACTTTCATCCTCAGTTAAAGATATCATCCTTTTTTTAAAAGCAGGCGTTTATCAAAATTCTGCTTTTTATACCAAAACTTAAATTTAATGTTTAACTTTCAGATGGATGGTATGGCTTCTGTCAAAGAAGCATTTTTTAAATCCAAGGACTTCACCTCGCCTCGCTTCATCATAGTCGTCAATAAGGACGACAACAGTTTCATCGCAGCCTACAATGTGGGTGACAGGACGAAGATAGTTTGCCAAGCTGCATCTAGCTTGGATGCAGCAGTTGTGCTACTAGCAGCGTATTATGTATTTGATCTGAGCTACCCAGAAATATATACGCATGCGCCTGGATTGCTGCTGCAGTTTGTGGTGGGAGACGCCTGCAGTGGACCTTAAGGAACAAAATGGATCACTTTTGTGAAACGTCTCCCCCTGGACATACTGACTCAGTCATTATAGTTTATCATTGAACATGTATTCGTACATAAACATGTACAAGTGTCTATAAAGTGTTGCAAGAGTATAAACATGTTTTTGTGTTTATTTATTAACGTCTTTATATGCATTCAATTTTAAGCAGCCCTGTATCTACATAAACACTTATGTTTATAAACATACACGTGCACGTGTCTATAAAGTGTTGCAGCTCCAGAGTTTATTTCTGTGTTTAAACAGAAACACTTGTTTTTAGAGTATACAAAAATGTCCCCAAAAATTTATTCCTGATCCCTAACCTTTCTTGTTCTATATATTAATTCTTGTTCAGTAATTAATTAACAAACATTCAAACAGGAAACAGCCCAGCAGTCTCGCATGTGTCCTATCGTGAAGATCCGGGATAGAATACGTCTTCAAAAACCCATGCTTGTCGTAAGAGGCGACTAACAGGATCCGGATGGTTGCTGCATGTCCAATTGCGTGGATTAATGCTCATGATATCAATCACTCGATTGTCTGGTCCAGACTCGATTATCTACAGACCGCCGTCATATAGCTGGAATATTGCTGAGCGCGTCGTCTTGTTTAATATTTTATGTTTGTGCTACGGACTAGAACATTATTTTACTGCAATACCATTGATTGTCATTGACCTTGTGGTGTATAGGACGTACGTTCAACGTTAGTTCATGACATATATCGTGGGTTTTGCTCGGTGGCCATGTATCATTCTATTTGCATTTTTGTTCGAGAAATACTTTTTGGCAACTGCTTCGAAACTTGCATCTTTTTTCTGTGAAAAGAACCGAACAATTTGTATCATGTCCAGCGAATACGTTTTTGTTGTACTAAAACTTGAAGACAATATTTTTCCAGTTATTTCTGGAACAAGTTATTCCTTTTTTGAAAATGGTCGGTCCCCGAACATGCATGACAGAAAAAGGTGAGGTGAAATGGGGTTTAACGTCGCATCCAAAATAATTGCACTTATATAGCGACGTGCATGCACGTGTGTGTGTGTGTGTGTGTGTGTGGTGTGTGGTGTGTGGTGTGTTTGTGTGTGTGTGTGTGTGTGTGTGTCTGCTTGTACTAGTCCTGACTAATGTCGATTTATAGTGCTAGCACAATGAGATACCATGCCGCAGTTTAACATGAATACCCCACTCAGACACAGTATACTGACTCCAAGCCGACCAGTCCTTGTTTTAGCCCCGTAATGCCGAGAGATAGGCAAGGTAACAACAAGTACCATCGTTTACATCTTTTGGTATGACGCGGCCGGGGATCGAACCCCGGACCTTCTGCTCTCCGGGCGGACGCTCTACCACTAGACCACGGAGTCGGTCCATGACAGAAGAAAATGATAGAGAGCCAGAAAGTGCCCCAAACCATGAGTGAGTGAGTGAGTATAGTTTTACGCCACTTTTAGCAATATTCCAGCAATATCACGGCGGGGGACACCAGAAATGGGCTTCACACATTGTACCCATGTCGGGAATCGAACCCGGGTCTTCGGCGTGACGAGCGAACGCTTTAACCACTAGGCTATCCGACCGCTCCCCAAACCATGACGTTGGAAGGTTGTACTATAGTACTTGGCAGTTTGAGGACAAGAAAACATAATTCTAAAATCATTCTTTTGAGAGATATCGACTCAGCGTATAAGATGCGAATTTAATGAGAGTGAGTGAGTGAGTGAGTATGGTTTTACGCCGCTTTTAGCAATATTCCAGCAATATCACGGCGGGGGACACCAGAAATGGGCTTCACACATTGTACCCATGTCGGGAATCGAACCCGGGTCTTCGGCGTGACGAGCGAACGCTTTAACCACTAGGCTACCCGACCGCCCCGAATTTAATGAGAATGAGACAAGGACAAATTGACAAAAGGTGGTAAGCTTTATTTTGTTAAAACAGAAGTTCTTGCAGCAGTACAATACACACGGGATTTGTACAGCAGTTGTCCTTGGTGGAACTTCAGCTCTTCTGGCAAAAGACTTGTACCTCTTCTAGCAATAATTCAAACATCTGTGCAATTGTATGTATCGTTACAAAAGGGGCTTGAACACTCAGTAAACCAAATACCATTAGGTTGATGTCTCAAACAAGAGGAGATAATTTCATATCACACTATGCTTCCCCGGTGGTATACACACGTCACACACATGTTCATTTGCATTTTGTCGTTGCGCGTTTTAAAGTCAGTAGGTTTCTAGCCATGTCCAAGAACCCCATCATCGCAGGAGAGATCGTTTAGGCTTTGTCGGACTTGATGACCGCAACTACATCGCCGAGCGTGAAGGTCTGAGAAGAAAAAATAAAGTGACATGTGTTTATACTCAGAGACTTTAAATTGATTCAAATTTTCCACGCAACCTAAAAATGAAAATTTAATTTTTTTAAAAAGAAATTCATTTCACCAATACAACAGATTAAACTGCTTGACAATAGATAACAAAAGAGTTTAACTAAAAATTGCACATGTGACAATATATTCAGAGAAGAAAGAAAATAATAATTTTAACTTTATTTCTATTTTGATTTATGTTTTTACAACACCTGAACTATTTAGTTTGGGATTTCATTTCGGAATAGTGGAATGGTTAATGTATGATTAATTAACAAAGTATACTTACCGACACCAGTTGTCCCCCTTTAACCTCCCGCCTGGTCGTGACTTCCTTCCCTTGGGCCTTGCCCACTTCCACCAGTGCTTCTCCATCCAAGGTCGTTGTAAACTGGAAAAAACAGTATTTATCGTAAATTTTAAAAACCTAAGAGAGATTATTTTATCCATTGGGAATTACAAATAATTGTCTGTCCTTTTTGGTAAAATAACTGTGTTACAAACATTCGAAAAATAATGTTTGAAGATGTGTCATACACTCAAAGGGGCATTATTTTTTAAATGAAATATCAATATAGGTACAGCCTCTTTAAGGATGTTACTAAACTGTACAAGCTTTAAAATTATTTACCCATATTTAAATACTGATGACCCCCTGAATAGGACCCGACCTCGGCAATGTCGGACATATATTTTTTTATGAACAGGATGGTTAAGTTTGGTATTTCCCGTATGTTCTCACAAGTTGCACGTCGGTTATTAGTCACTTTCCCCCCAATACCGATTGTCATATCTCTCCCACTGCGATCGTTCGGCCGTTGCGTTTATCTACGTTGCCCAGCTACATATACGGGAAACAACTAACTAGACACTTCCCTCTTAAAAATAACGTCATCAAGTTGCGAGAGCATGTTCGAATCTCCAGAAATGACGTCATGATAGAACAATGCTTTATCGTGCAATAAACGACGCTTCGGTCTTTATTGTAATTTGTAATTTGTCGTGCAGCTATATTATATATCAGTACATCTCCTGTAGCCCTTGTTCTATACGTCCTATATCACTTGTTTTATATCAGTATATGTCCTATATAATATCACCTGACGCACAAGTCCTATACCCACTGACGCACATGTACTACATAATATCGACTGACGCACATGTCCTATACAATATCACCTGACGCACATGTCCTATACACTATAACCTGACGCACATGTCCTATACACTATCACCTGACGCATATGTCCTATACACTATCACCTGACGCACATGTCCGATATAATATCACCTATACCCCTGTCTGCAGCCCCGCCCTGAGCTACCTTGATTGGAGATCCGATGATGGAGACGCCATCTGTCTCCTCCCCAAGCTTGAACTTGTCCTCACGCGTCTTGCCCATCACGGTGGACTTGATGCTCCAAGTGTCCCCATCATTGCCAATCTCAACTTCCGCCTTGTTGGCCAGGAACAATTCCTTGGTCTCAGCCGGGACACCTGCAGGAAACAAAGGACGAGATTAGAAAAGGGCTATACGAGGACCACTGGAAAACGCAAGTCTTAAACTCACGGAAAATGTTGTCATGAATGTTTTTGGACTGAGTTATATTATTTCGACCACTTGCATGTATTGGACTTGAGACATGGTGAAGTGCACAATTATGGCCTTTAACTGGCAACTTGGAACTAAATTTAGATATGTTTCATGTACGGAAGCCTTTTAGGGCCATTTGTTTTTTTGTTTTTTTCTTGAAATTTCAAGGTGTTATGCTGAAATTTCAAGATGCATACTAAGTTGAAATTTGAAGATGCTATTGGCAATAAATAGTGTCAGAACTGCGGTATACCTCTCGCTCAAATACGGAAAAAGGAAAATCCTATCTTATACCCGTTTTGTAAAATCACCATGACATTCACTCAATCACTATATATGAGCGAGTCAAAACATACAGTAAAGACGTATTAATTAAAGTCACATGTCAAACATCTACACGATATTTCTAGCACGAATGTACGTGTATTATTGTTCTAGGTTTATCAATGCTCTGAAATACACTGCCTCCAATATGTAGTCGATAGAGCGCGAGACTGGAGAGCGGAAGGTTGATGGTCGGTCGTGTCATACAAAAAGACCAGATGGTACTTGTTGTCACTTTGCCTGGCGCTCGGCATTAAGTGGATCAAACAAGGACTGCCCGGCTCGGAGTTAGCATAGCGTGTCTGAGTGAGGTACCCATGTTAAAACTGCGGCATGGTATGTCAGTGGGCTAACCCTATAGTACAAGCAGCCACACACACATACACTCGCACACACGTGCATGCACATCGCTATACAAGTGAAATAGTCTTAAACGCAACGTTAAACGCCATTTAACCTCATCTTCCTTCTGAAATATATTCCTAATCTATCCCTGATAATTTAACTAAGGGTCGCCCTTTTTGTTTGTTTACCTGAATATATGTATGAAAATAATTCTCGAAGGAATTTTCATTAAATATTTTGCTGAAAATACCTTGACACATAGTAAAACCTATTGCCATATAAAAGAATCCCATTTGTAAATGGTATGTAGAGGAGGTATGTGAACCCCTTCAGTCACAACCCTACCCCACCCCCCACCACCACAATCCACCCCACCACGCTACACACCCCGGGTTACAGGTCAAAACCCGTGGCAGGAAATGGCTGCGGGGCGAAGGTGGAGGATCGCCTCAAGTCCTCAAGTAGAGTGTCTGCAAGTTCGTTGGGGTTAGGTGAAGCAGTTTGCACTGAGCCTAATCCTTCACCAGGTCACCAGGTCACCAGGTGACTTTAGGGATGGTGGTTCAAGGCCCAATCTGACCGGATTGAAGAAGTCGTTTTGTCTAGCCAGGTGATATATTATCGTACAGCAGTTCAGGTTGGAGATACAGACAAAGGCAAGTCAACACTCATCAACCCCACTGAAGCTTACATCGAGATTGCCGGAATAGCCACTGAAAAATTTGAAATGACAGTTTGCTTGTTTGCGCAACTTTCGTAGGATGAATGGACAGAAATTGCCGGATGTGGTGTTGAATATTGAAATTCTTTTGAAATGATCTCAGTGAGAAAGTTGTCAAGCACGTTTTCTGTAGGACCAGTGACGTTATTGTGGCATTGCTCTTGTTGGCTATTTCAAAAACAACCCCGACTGTGTTTTACATATATGCATATTACTATTTTTCTTCTTGTTTAACACGTTTTCTAGGCCAAGATGAAAAAAATGAATGATATGAGAAAGGATTTTTCTTCCATCAAATAATAGTTTAAAATTTAATATTACTCTTCGTCATTTAGATTTACAATGTCAATGCAAGAGAATATGCAGTCTAGATTATCCGCCAAAACAGATTAAATTTTGGCGTTAAGGGCAAAATAGGAACTAGCTCGTCAGTGAATACAAAACACCAACTCCAGAGAATAACCATCCAGGAGTATCCGCTAAAACAAATTCCAACGAAAGTTGAAGGTAAAATAGCGGTAAAAATTATATAAATGGATCACTGATTTTTCTTTTTGACACCTCGTGTCTACCTACATGTCTGGAACAATGTTACAAGAGGCGTTAAACCAAACTCACTTACTCATAGTGTGTAGTTTCCTATCATTAGGATATTATATCAATGTGTAGCACGTGTTGTTTTTAAAAAAAAACGGTCAAAAAAAGTTCTATCAACCCGCTGGAACTTTGTCCCAAGTGGAATCACGCGGCAGGTGGGCGTGCTCTCAGTGATAACACAAGTAAGGGGCATATACAGCTGTACGTCTGATGTATTTTATCAGGTTAAGTCTATAATGAGTAATGAATGAAGATAACACGAACCATGACGCAATCTTTGTCAAATCGGAGGGGTGGGAACTCGGACAGACGTGTCCTGGCTGATAACAGCCAGCTAGACTGATAAATGAGATACCCAAGGTCAAGGACATCTATACAAGAATGTTGAGCGGCAGACGACATCCGAGTGAAATCATTGGTAAAACGTGGTCTCGTCGTCTGTCGCTCTATTTAGTCAAATGCGACCACGAGTGAACTCAGAAGTCATCTTGGTAGACATGGTTCACGACGGCGGCGCCAATTGTTCTTCATATCAGCGTGTCTCCCACCAAGAAGGAATGAGATTGACAGGCTATTCAAACAAGGACTGTCTTGGCGGGCGTGACTTCCGGTTGCATCATATCAACGTTTTTGTGTTGCATGGACAGTTTATGAGCTTCGTGCAAGATCTGAGACGCTGACTGCGTCGTGCCTGGAGATAATCTTTAAAACTGACATAAACAGCCAATTTAAGATGCAAGTTTTAAAAAATCAGGATTCACTCCGGAGTTTTTTTGGCCATGTTCATTCTACGTCTAGACTTTTTAATTATACCATCTACTGATTGATCTGCATCGTAATATACTACTCAAAAGAATTTAAGAACACTCGATCCTCATTATTATACTTAATCTGACATGACATATGAAATAGTAATATGAAAAAACAAGTTTTTTAACTTCTTTCAGTAATATATATGAGCTGAGACAAAGCAGTGTTCAATGACTTGAATCAAACTGGCTGGGACTGCCTATTTGTTTGAGCCAATAACCCCTTTAAGTATTTGGCTTGGTGATGGATAAACCGTGCACTTCACAGCAACTGTGTATCGTTTATGCAGGCTGTAACTGTCCCTGTTTGTGGTGTCACCGACACACCGTGGCTCATAGGCTTCACTGCAATTAAAGTGTCTACACCCACTTTTCAATTTGGTTTTACGTTTGTTCTTCAAACCGGAGCTAAACATTCACTCATTACAATAATATATGAGCTGGCGAGCTTGCTTCTTGCGTTAATTTGGGCGGTCGGGTAGCCTAGTGGTTAACGCGTTCGCTCGTCACGCCGAAGACCCGGTTCAATTCCCGACATGGGTACAATGTGTGAAGTCCATTTCTGGTGTCCCCCGCCGTGACATTGCTGGAATATTGCTAAAAGTTGCGTAAAACCATACTCACTCACTCATGCGTTATATACTCACCGACGAGAGAGACGCGATGCACAAGCGAACATACTGTGATGTTGTTTGAACAGACGCTCATGAACTCAGCACATCTGTTGTCATAGATCCATGACTCTAGATGCACCATTTGTCTGGTTAGCGTGTAAAGTTCGGAAATCACGTGTGGCATATCATGATATAAAGAATAAAGACACTCTGTGGTAACACTTGACTTATTGTTAGTTTTGTCATTAAGTGATACGCTTTGGAAAACGTACACACTTCTCCATATGTTTCTATGGTTCCCGTTTCCTTTGGCGGTGAGTATATAAGTCAGACGTTTTATCGTACTTCCTCTGATAGAGGGTACACGGGTGGCCCAGTCGTCTAAGGCGCCGCGATTCGCTGTGGAGAGTTGCGTCCCTTGGGCACGCCAGAAACCTATGATCGTGGGTTCGAATCCCGGTTCACCCCGATTATGTTTCTAGGTTTGTCAGCACCATACCCGTGCTCGTGGGTTTCACCGAAGTGGTAAACGTCTGAGACCTGCATCACTTCGGGCTTTCCTCCCACTTTAAGCTGACACACCGCGATATAACTGGAATACTGTTAAAAGCGGCGTTAAACCCAACTCGCTCTCTGATAGACCTTAACTTCCGGTACTAAAACCGTCACATGTCTCGGAATTGTTTAAGGGAGTTCGACAAGTACAGGTAACAGTTCTGGGACACGGCTGCCCCATTCGTATACGGTGCTGCAATTTGCTCTGCACAATGCCAGAAACATAGAAATATTGTTTCGTGGATTTGATTCCCAGATACGCCCGATTATGTTCTGTAGGTTTATCAGCACCACACCCGTGCTCGTTGTATCACCAAAGTGGTGAACGTCAGAAACCTGCATCACTTGGGGCTTTCCTCTCACACTCAGCTTAGGACCCGTGAAGATCCGGGGTAGAATAGGTCTTCAGCAAACCATGCTTGCCGTAAAAGGCGACTATGCTTGTCGTAAAAGGCGACTAACGGGATCGGGTGGTCAGGCTCGCTGACTTGGTTGATGCATGTCATCGGTCCAAATTGCGTGGATCAATGCTCATGATGTCAATCACTGGATTGTCTGGTCCAGACTCGATTAGTTACAGACCACCGTCAACAACAAACAAACAAACACGGCGTGATATAACTGGAATACAGTTCAAAGCGGCATTAAACCAAACTCGCTGACTGACAATGTGCCGGCCGTATCAAGGCCGTGTAGAAATATGGAGCCGGGCTCTAATAAATCATTGAAATGTCGTGTCAAGAGTCGAAATATGGTACCCACCGCTGCAGGTACACCCCTTCAAAATATTACTAAGTCACCTACCCGTGGTTCGTTGTGTCTCGGTTATTGCTTGAAAGCGTTTTGTCCCCTGTCTGCTCACTTCCACCACAATACCAAACAATCACAAACAGGGCACATTTACATGTAACTATTCTAATAACTAGTTCCCGCCAACGTGTATACCAACAGCTCCCAGATGAACGCAAATGACACTTTATAGTAGTGAAGCAATACAATTTGAAACATATCAAAAATTAATTTGCTCAGTCGGCGTCTTATTTATTAACAGTTCGTACTTTGAACAGTTTGAAGTAGAAATGTATTCAAATAACTAATATAGTTACAGGTCTACAGACACACATCTCGCAGCTATAGAATGCATACAAATATTGTTTAGCCATATCTTGCATGGAGACGCGCCCGGTTGGTATTTTCAATAGACCTACATGTTTTAAAAATTACTTAGTTCTGTCGGTGTCGTATATAGTAACATTTAGGAGTTGGCTCCCTTCATATTGACTGCCGTGGGGAAAAGGTATACACCCATGTTTGATGGTGGCTAGAATGAAACAAACAAGAAATGGTTGATGTATTTAATACGGGAACTATGTAGTTGTATTCTAGACCTTACGATTTCCAGTGTTTCAGCGACTGAATTGTTTGATAGGCATTACTTAGAAGCTGACGGATGACAAAGTGGACACAATTTATGGATAACAACATCTTTATTTACTGTAAATGCGACGTTTCGGTATACATACTTATCGTGTCTCAAGGCGACTGTTTTCAGTCTAGCTAGTTACGTTTTGATAACGTTTGTAATTTTTTGTTCAAATCCGGTTTTCCGTTGTTTACGCTCTTCGGCCCTGCAGTTATAATGTCAATAGTTTTTACATAGTCACATGTTCTATACTTCGCCCCAGATAGCAAACAGACAGCGAGAATACAGACGCGACCGACTGGTAGTATCAATATAACCAATACAAAATATCAGTTTGTTCTGTCTGCATCTAATTTATGAGCAGTTTGGACTTTGATCAGTCTGGAATATGTACAGCAGCCATGAACGACCCAGCTACAACCTGTGTCCACGTCTCCGCATGGCGAGAGCTGTGTATGTGTAGTGTGTTATATAACGTCACAGGGAATTGTACTGTGATGGACAGATTGAAAGTGATCAGAAGAGGTGTTTTGCGAGTAAGACCTGCTTGGAAAACATGCAGGCGGTTTAAGAATTTCTTTCAGCTATGTTCAGAACAGAAGATGCACTTATTAACACAACTGAAATTTAGTGAGTGAGTGAGTGAGTGAGTGAGTGAGTTGGGTTTAACGCCGCTTTTAACAGTATTCCAGTTATATCACGGCGTGTCTGCTTAATGTGGGAGGAAAGTCCGAAGTGATGCAAGTCTCAGACGTTTACCACTTCGGTGAAACCCACGAGCACAGGCATGGTGCTGACAAACCTAGAAACATAATCGGGATGAACCGGGATTCGAACCCACAATCATAGGTTTCTGGCGTGTCCAGGGACGCAACTCTGCACAGCGAATTGCGGCGCCTTAGACGACTGGGCCACCCGTGCAAAAGCTGGTGGGTGGTGTGCACACAATACTGAAGTCACAAGTCTCCTGGGACGGTATTCATAACAAAATAAGATTTTTCTTAACATAAAACTGAAGTTTTTGAAATCTGACTCAGCTAAGTCTGAGAAATAGGTTGATATTCCTTAAGACCCTAAGTCCGAAACTTAGCTGAGTCTTCAAAGAAAAAGTAAGCCAATTTCGTAGAAAATAATTATTGCCTAATTAACAAAAAGCCATTACTCATCTTAATGGCGTAATTAAATTGTTCCCAACGTTGTATGCTCTGACAAACGAGAGCAATCGAATCCTACATCCCTGAAGAGAACCCAGTGCACAATGCTTACCTCATCGCCCGTAGGGTTATAGTCCAGTACTTGGACATGGGCTGTTAGTACAACACCGTTCAGTGAGATAGAATGTGATTTGATAGTAACGTGTTCAACGGTCGTGCACCTGTCGTGCTACAGGTGTGTGAGAAATGATGTTAATCTACAGCCATCTTCCAGCTACATCTGGGCTGACTGGAACTGATTCAGTCTGGACCAGCCACCATCATTGGAAGATGAGCAACGAACAATAAGATGGCAGCCATGTCACATTCAACCACTCGACGCACATTGAATTACACAGGGCCGTGGTCTAGTGGATACTGCGTCTGCCCGAGAGCGGACAGTCGGGGGTTCGATCTCCGGCAGCGTTATACCAAGAAACGTTTAAAGATGGTACTTGTCGTTACCCTGTCTGCACTAGTACAGGCAGGCAGGCACGCACACGCACACGCACACGCACACGCACACGCACACACACACACACACACACACACAAACGCACGCGCGTACATTCATGTCGCTATATATGTCAATTTGAAAGCGACGTCAAACCCATTTCACCTCACCTCACCCTACTATAGAATTATATGTTCAGTATCTGAAATTTGGGAGTTGAACTCAAGTACAGCTTTTGACTTAACCCTGCCCCGCTGCGCTACCGATCTGTGAAAGATCTCGCACAACTATGCTCCAATGCAAACTCCGCAATATATAAATATTTAGTTACGATAAAATATTTCATTCAAAATAAAACAAAATTCTCACCTAATGCATCAAATAATGCGCCATAGTTTTCAGACTCAACTTGCTTCCACTTTCCAACGAGGGCAGACATACTTGCGTGTTGTCAGTTGTTCAGTCGGACTCTGAATACTGTGTGCAGGCCCGGCAAACTGTCGTCTGCTCGACGCGGTCACGTGGTGACGCGGGCGGTGATAGATAACACTTGTGAATGACTAACGGGCGATGTAGCACAATATCACTACAACGCACCTGGAAACTTTCCGCAAGGACACGCTCAATATATGATATTGGAATACGTCCATATTTACTTGAGGATAAGGTTCAACAAAAAAACTTGGTGACACACAGACAGCTAAGACAGAAGAGCACTGAATGTAAGATATCTCAAGTCTTCTGTTCATGCATATGGTTGTTATAAAAATCATACAGATATTGTATAGGCGGCATGGTGGAGATGTAGTGTATAGTACTAGGCTCGTTCTCCCGGGCACAGCTCTTTTGGAAAGGAGGGGGTGCACTTTAATATATATAAAATGCTAGCACGCAAATCGGGAAACAATTTGGGTTCGTTGGCCAAAATAAGTCAATTAATTTTCATTTTTGTTTAAACACATGTCACCATAATTTAATTGTATGTTTTAATACATCATTGTGATTCGTACGCTTTGATTAGGAGGGGTTCACAACCATTAACAACCAACCCCATCCACTCAGAGAGAGAGAGAGAGAGAGAGAGAGAGAGAGAGAGAGAGAGTGAGAGAGAACTGTGGTCCCGGCCCTGAAACGTACGGCGACTTATTGTCAGCTGTTCAAGTTCTCTAATATATCCATAGCGACGTGTCCATGCAGTTTTTCACACCCTTGCCAATCATTAACGCACAAAACTATCGCCAAGAAACGTGATGGATAAACAGCTGTTTTAACAAGCATTCCCAATATATATACACCACGTAACTAGGATGTAACACACGGACCCAATACGTCACATCGTGCAACAAGTATATTACAGGTCTTTATTCTATATTACCCATTAAAAACGTCATTAGATATATGTTTCGAAAAGGAAAATGTGTAATGTTTATTAAGAATATTATTTCAAAACTTCACAACCCTTAAACGAAAACTGAATTGTGCTAAAGTGTCATCGTATTAACCAATCAACGAATACCAGAACATAACCAACCCCAAGAGTACGCTCCTTCCTCTGTAAGCAATCGAACCCGAGCATTCGGCGTGACGAGCGAACGCTGTAACCACTAGGCTACCCCACCGCCCCATAAATACGTCTATCTAATGTGAACCTGCGCATGTTCCACAGTTCAGGGGAGCACGGGTGTCTGAGGCGCCGCGATTCGCTGTGCAGAGTTGCGTCCCTTGGACACGCCAGAAACCTATGATTGGGGGTTCGAATCCAGGTTCGCTCCGATTATGTTTCTAGGTTTGTCAGCACGATACCTGTGCTCGTGGGTTTCACCGAAGTGGTAAACGTCTGAGACCTACATCACTTCGGGCTTTCCTACCACATTAAGCTGACATGCCGTGATGTAAGTGGAATACTGTTAAAAGTGGCGTTAAACCCAACTCACTCACTCATCACAGCTCAGACTGTCTAAAACGAATGAACAGTCTCTAGTTATGGCGATCTAACAGAGATTAGTTCAGTAAGGAAAATGAGGTTTCTTTATCCCTCCCATTCGTGACAAACTCGTGTCATTCCGGAATATGCCGAACGTCTTTTAGGTTATTTTTGTTGTGAATAGCTGTCGTTCGGTTTCACTCGCCCCTATCCGCCACATGAACGAAAGTTTCTCACGGAATGACGAAAACGGGGGTTTTATACGCTCGTTTTCAGGTCTGAAGTCCGGGTCAAAGAATGAACCTGTCTTTTCCGGGGCTAGCAGCATGTTGTAAGTAATGCATGTTGGAAGTGGGGTTGTTTCCTGTTTACGACATTCCGACATAGGGTGAAACACGATATGTCTGCTCAGATCAAGGAAATCGGATAAGGTAATTTTACGATTACGTATTAGAACCATGTCCAACTTTTGCTGCAATTTTGCCAATTCAACCTAGACATATTCTCTGTGCAGGGGCTACCGAGAAACATTGGTTTGATCATTAAATACCAAAATATTACTGGCCACATGCATCTCGTAACGTAATTGAAAACGCAAAATGGCCCAACGATTGCACAAATACTTCACGTGCAGCCCTCATTTCTTGACCTCATTATTCATCAGAGGCAGCCTAAGATGTTAATACTAAGTTAAACATAATTCAATTAAAATGTGTCTTTAATTTTATTAGGCCATTACATGCATATATTTTTCAGTATCATTTGTTAGATTCCCGGTCGCGTCATACCAAAAGACGTTAAAAGATGATACTTGTTGTTACCCTGTCTGGCACTCGGTATCCTGGCATACATCATGTGCCACAGATGCTAGTTGATTATTGTCGGTTAGTAGTTAGTCTGTGTTAAAGAATGGGAGTTATGTAGAGGGGAATGTCCGAGTAACTCTCCATTCCTTAAAAATAATGGAGCAGAGGCCCCGCAGGGGCCGAGGCCCATTATTTTAAAGGAATGGAGAGTTACGAGGATATTCCCCTACTGAAAACTCATCCCTACTTTTACACTTTGACAAAATATTCTGTAGTTCAAAATATTAGAAAAATTCAAATGCTGCTTCAAGATAATGTACAGTTGACAAGCAACTCTCCATTCCTGAAACATAATGGAGCGTTCAAACAATCGAATGACGTCACAGATGTGTTTTAATAATCATGAATGCACTAAGATCGCTTTGCGGTATCGGGACCGCTCCGTGGACGAGTGGATAGAGCGTCTGTCCGGAGAGCAGAAGGTCGTGGGTTCGATTCCCCACCGCCGCCCCGGTTGATACCTAAAGACGTTAAAAGATTGTACTTGTTGTTACCCTGCCTGGCGCTCGGGATTCCTGGCATGTATCATGTGCTACAGAAGCTTTCTGATTATGTAGATTATTATGAGGCAGTATCAAAGCTGGCCCAAATTACCGGTTTCATAAACACTGAGTGAAGATTAACACCAAACTCGGACCTTGACTGGGCTCTTGTCCACCTAAACGCATGCGCACCTATAACCGGATATAATATATTGTATCACATGTCCGCCCCTTTTGGCTGAAGCTCACGCAAATTTAATCTTACTTCCCGCACTTAGCATTCAATCACCAAGACTAACGCTTAGTATAAAATATTAAAATATATAATTTTGATGAAAACAAGCGGTACATTTAAATTGAAAGAAGCCCCAGTGAAATGTGAGAACTAGACTTGCTTCATTTAGGGATCAAGCATTACAGTAAGGGTTTGACGGAAGGGAAAAATAATATGGTACAGGGACCGTGAGACCGACTATCAATCACCATCACTATGTGAAGCAACATCGACGACGGTATGTTCCACGACTGGTCTTGAGACGTGTCTCGTCGTAACGCTAAGTGCAGCATCCATCAGGGGATGTTCGGTCCAGCTTGTATTACTTCACCGGGTCATCTGTAGTTCGTGTCGGCATGTCTCAAACACAAGGAAGGGTTGGTTGGTTTGTTGTTTAACGCCGCGTTATAAATATATGATTAACGAGAACACATCAAGACGCAGTTCTGTTTCCCAAGTAACTTCATAAAATTAATGTAAAAAAATAAATATTTATTACTCTTCACTGGTGTCTTCCGAATGTGTGTTGGTTTTGTTTGTTTGTTTTTTAACGCTACACAATATTCCAGCTATATGACGGCGGTCTGTAAATAATCGAGTCTGGACAAGACAATCCACTGATTGATATCATGAGCATCGATCTTCACAATGTGGGATCGATGACATGCATTAATCAAGTCAGCGAGTCTGACCAACCGATCCCGTTAGTCGCCTCTTACGACAAGCAAAGTCGCCTTTTACGACATGCATGGGTTGCTGAAGACCTAGCCCGGATCTTCAGGGGTCCGAAGGGAAGGGGTTCGGGTGACGAGATTTCACTGTCTACCCACCCTGTATCGCAAGACTGTACGGAGATGTTAAAAGCACTCACGGAAATAAAATAAAATGTTTTTTCGATCTCAGATTTTAAATAAATGCAGTTCATATACAAAATATATAAATATTCAAACAAATCAATTAGTACTAATTGGGACTTGGCACAAATACAGCGTGTTAAAGGTTTTTATGTCTTTTTACACGTAAAAGTGTGTAAGAATATGAACAAAACAGACTATTGTGAAACCGAGCGTAACTAGGTGTTAGTAGATCAAGGTGTATGTCCATGACCTATGACACCTTGACGACAGGTGAAAACAGATGCTTGAAACCCACGTGCATGTGATTTGTCAGTGGTTAGTGATTTGTGAGTGGCATTGTGGGATAGTGAATCATCGTCAAAATATCAGAACGTAAAAGTAACATATTCCCTTCTCAAAAAACAACTTACATGTCATTATTATTATGTACATAAACATAGCTGTTATTTTTATTGTTGTTTTGATAACTTTTTTCCAGGCTAATTTGCATAATGCCTATAGCCTGTTTCTGCCATGTCAATTTGGACTTAGTATTATTTTTGAATGTTGAAAGTGCCTACAAATTACCTCCTGTACATTTTGTATTGAGCACTGAGATAAAACTAGCAAATCCAGACTAGTACTTTTCCAGTTGTTTTTTTTATTTCGTATTTAAATCTACGTAATGCTTTGTGTCGATATTAAATCCAGCAAAACAGGTTTTTTTCATTTCCATGAGTACTTTAATACGTCAAATGTGAGCACCGCCGTGTAGCCAGTATCGATCGTGGCACCTTGACAACACACCTACCACCGGACCACCTCGAGCTCACTCGTAATCAAACAGTTTGTTGCACTTTTAGCCGCCGCTCGCGGTATAAAACCTAACGCGGGACCCATTTAACAACATGTACCCCTCGTGATACCTCTACAACATATACCCCTCGTGATACCGCTACAACATATACCCCTCGTGATACCGCTACAACATATACCCCTCGTGATACCGCTACAACATATACCCCTCGTGATACCGCTACAACATATACCCCTCGTGATACCGCTACAACATATAATATAGATGTTTACATTGTGGCAAGAACGCCGGTGGGGATTCCTGATTAGAATTTGTCAGGTGACTCA